CTCACAATTAACACAAAAACAGCAAAAGCAGCCTTAAAATGTCTCATTTCTGGCACAAGGAAAACTGCAATTGATCTGAATATTAAAATCAAGCTCGTTCATGAAGGGCAAGAAAACAATCATTACATTTCAGACAGGAAGGACAAACCGCAACGCTTATTTCTGGTGAAAGTTTCAGCTGGAAAATGGTAAAATCATCCAACCTTTTGGCATCAAATGCTTTTATCTACAGTTTTTTCTCCTGGCTTTTATAAACCCAATGGAAGCTAAGCTGTAAACATATGTTTTGGGAAAAGGGGTTTGGGGAGAAGATGAAAACTTGGGATGGGCAAAAAGTTAAGCACCTGCTCTCTTCCTGTCTTCTCAACTGACATTCTATGCTGACAGAAACAGCCTTCTGGGTCTTGCCATCTAATGTGTTCTCATATGCATGGAGAGTTCTGTCTTTTGAATATGTACTTTGTCAAACCGTTTGCATTTTTAGCCTATGATGTCTGAAATCAGGCACAACTGGGAGATCAGGGTGTATTAGCGACAGCCAGTCTAGGGGTCATGGGGCTTGTAGCATTCCTTGGGGTGCAAATAGCAATCAAACACAATAAAATGTCTGAGCTACAAAACAGGAACGTAGAATATGCCTGTGATTTAGATAAAGTGCATCACTTTATGTTGCAGGCTGAACTCAGACGCAGGCAAATGTTAAAGAGATCTAGAACTGCCATGGGTCACAGAGTGGATGGCATCTGTATGAGCTCTTCATCTACTGAGCAAGATAAACTTGTTGCTTCTTTTGCAAGTTCATCTACAAGTATAAGAACTTGCACCTTTATCCTACCACTCTGTGATTATTTCACAGATGTTTAGAGACAGAAGGGGTCTTTGAGGATATCCAGTCCAACCTTTGTTCAGGACCATGATCTTCTGTCTGCAGTGTCAGAGAAAGATGGCTGCTCTGCCTCAACCAGTTATTCAATTTAACTCAGTTTGTAAGGACCCACCTTAGCTAACCACCCAAGAAAGCAGAACTCTTGAAACAGGCATTGTCTCAAAAGGAAACGTAGTAAGGGTTAGTGACAGTAAGGAAGTCAAGGCGAGATCTGGGGATAATCCCGCTAAAACAGTATAGTTAAAGCAGCAATATTTCTCCTCCCACCAGAATCATAGTGTCCATTTGAAATCTAGCCAATCCACAGGTGGCACAATTTGCGGGTAACTGGCACAGTTGGTGCACATCTCAAAGTCTTCTCCAGTTTTGTTTCTCTGCAACTGCCTCCCATTTTCTCAAGTGGAGAGAGGCGGGAGAGGAAAGATAGAAAGCAAAAGTTATCCCAAATGAAAGCAAATTCCCCCCTCCCCCAATAGAATGGCAGGCCCCAAACAAGAGCATATATGCAAAGAAAAACAATAAGGTTTTTGGGGACCTGACACAGTTCATCTAATCTCAGTTCAACTTTTTTCTTTAGCTTAGCCATGGAGATTCATTATCTTCTGATGAATTATTTCAGACAGCACTTATTATTATGTTTAATGTCATGGACATACAGTTTTCTTGATAACCATATGGAAGTGGGCAGGTTGTATTTTATCAGTCCAGTTTCTAATCCTCTCCAGTACTCTCTGTTGATCTTTCACTCAATGTATTGAAGTTCAGGAAAAACTGTGAAATGGCAACATAAGCTCGTATTTTCTTTGCAGCTGTGATTTTGGTATGTAAGCCATACATTTTATTTTGAAACAAATGCTTGTGTATAACTAAGACAATTTTGCCAGTGTGTTTAAAAGAAAGCAATATGGCAATAATTTCCTGAAACTAAAATGCTGTATTGTGTTCCACCGGTTGTTAACATATATTTAAAATCAAAAACCCAGCACAGCCGGACAGATAGACAGACATCCAGTTACTGCAGTTTGTTTAGAGTAATCTGAAACAGCAATATGACCTTCTGTTTCTCCTGCCTCTTAGCATGTGTGTCCTAACAACAATGAAGCACACTCAACCTTCAGGTGTCTCTCAGGAATTACAACCATTGCCATACTATATATTGATGTGTGGTACTTGATTGCATTAAAAATACAGAAGATGCTGTGTTGTACTTCTACATATTGCCAACCAAGTTGCAATTGCATTTCTAAAAAAAGAAACATCAGCATGGCAGTATGTCTGAAACAAAAGGGGTTCAGTGCACACTCTGTTCAAATGGTGAGGAAAAAAGACACTGGAATGCTAACATACTCCTGCCTTTCTCATTAATCCTCACAGGCATTTTAGCTGGTTCTTTGAAACAAGCAAATCTTATTCCTAGAGATACCAAAACTCTTGATTACTGTTGTGATTTTGAACCTAGAGAGGTGCAGGCTCATTTGGCAGTAAATGGCCCAAAGCTCAGTTTTTTCTGAAGTGGAAGGAGGAATGAAGGTAGGTTTACTATTGCTTCCAAGGCAAAACCGAGAATTCAGGATCTATGCAATCATTGACTTGAGCAGAATGTTATTGGCACATATTCTGAAGACAAGGAAGAAACCAGAAAGTGATGGTTTTGAAAAATAACAAAACATTCATCATTTAGAGACATAAGATGAATGCAAGGAGAAAGTGGATATGTTTAGTTACTCATAATAGCTGCTAAGGGAAAGCACAGTAGCAGTTCTCACATCAGTTCATGGTTCAGCTGAGATACAAAGCCAGCTCTCTTTGGAATAAACCCAGTGATTCTGCAGGGGGTGCTTAAATAAATAATGCTGTACAATCCCCTATTTAATAAAAAGAAAAAGCTCATGTTGAAGTTACAAAATTGTTGAACTGCATTTCCCAATCTGATGCTATCCAGATGTTTCAGACAGGAGGACAACTGCTATCTTTGGTAGTCAAGCTGGTTTCCTTCTAGTCCAGCTATGGTGCAGTTCAAAACTCAAAATAACCTTCTTATGATTGGCAATGCTGGAGCTCTGCAGGGGTTGGGAGTGAGCCATCTTCCAATTTACAGTAAGTGTGGCCTAAGCTTATCTGCCACCGCTAAACTTGAGCTTCTCCAGTACAGAATTCTACAACTTCTGTTAGCTCAAGGGCTGTGCCAAGCTCTGCATAGCCCTCCAAGGACCAAACTCCAAAAGTAGATGTGGCCAGGTTCTCTTCAAAACTTTTAAAAAGTGAAATGTGTATTTTAACAACTACAATGTTTGAAGAACACATTTGCCCCATAGACTTCCCAGACCCAAAACTTTGCACAAATAAGGTGCAAGTATTTAGACTTTCCCATTTTTAATGGGTTTTGGATGTCATAGAAGAGATGGTGATGGCAACAGGAGCATGCACACAGGCAAAAAGGTCGAGATGCTGGCTACAGCCACACAGTTGAAGCCCATCCATTTTTAAGGCATCACAATGCAGTTAAAGAAGGGATGGTACTCTAATCATAAGGTTGCAGCTGCTATCTTAACTTTTTTGCCTGCCTTCTGCAGACATCCCCTCTAGGGAGCCATCTGCAGTCTCTCAGCCACACTTTTACATTTTGCTCCAATAAATGTCAACAGCGACTTTTACAGTATTAACAAATCTAGTCTCCTGCCTTTCTCATTAATCCTCACAGGCATTTTAGCTGGTTCTTTGAAACAAGCAAATCTTATTCCTAGAGATACCAAAACTCTGAGCCAGTTTTACAAGCTCCACATAAACTACTCAGGTATATAAACAAGGATAGTCAAAGTCTTGGCCCATCCTACTTCCCGTCTCTGGGATCAAATGAAACATGCTGCAGCCCAGCATCCAAACAACCATATGCTATAGGCTTTATAGTAAAATCTATAGCAATGGCTACAACCACTGAGGAAAGTATTTGGTTGCAAAACATGGAGTCTTGCTATGGGCACAGTTTCCAATGGGAATTTATAAGTAAGAAAAATGACTTCTTGATACTCAGGCAGCTTTCTTCTTATACCAACAATTAAGGTGAACTTTTCTTTTTTTTAAAAAAATACAGTAGCCCCTTCCCCCTCTCCCAATCCCTTGATTTCTGTATGTTGCAGGACTAAGCAGAAATTATTGCATCAGCAGCTGTACTAACTCAGGAGGCATAGCACTGTCTGAATCCTGATTTTTACATTCTCTGATTGGCTGACTAGCAAGAACACTGATTGGCTCATGGTGATCCCTGTCTTTCTCAATGTTCCATATTGACTCTGAAGGTGAAACTTTGCTGGATTATATAGATCAGGGGTCTTCAAACTTGGCCCTTTTATGATTTGTGGACTTCAACTCCCAGAATTCCTCAACCAGCGTTGCCTGGAAGTTGAAGTCCACAAATCATAAAAGGGCCAAGTTTGAAGACCCCTGATATAGATAATCCTCAATTTACAACCTTTTGTAATTACAATGGCACTGACAAAAGTGACTTACAATCCTTTCAGTATTCCCACAATTACATGACCAAAATGTGGGAACTTAGCAACTGGCATTTATTTATTATGGTTGCAGCATCCTGGGATCATGTGTTCACCATTTGTGATCTTTCCAGCTGGCTTCCAATAAGCTAACTCAAGAGGGGAAGCCAGATTTTGCTTACTAACTCTGTGATTCACTTAATAACTGCAGTGATTCACTTAGCAACTCTGGCAAAAAAAGGGTCATAAAATGGGTGTGACTCACTTAACAACTGCCTTGCTTGACAACAAAAATTCCATATCTAATTGGAATTGGAATCTCAAAGTATCCCAAACTTACTAATAAGGGTCTCTATTTGTAAATGGGCACTGTTTTAGTTGCCTGACAACAGCCCTACCTGCCTCACATGTAAAATAAAGGGAATCATTCTGCTCTTAAACATGGAAGTTCTATTTCAGTGCAACAGCATACAGGATTATATTCCATTAACATACATCATCATCTTTTAAAAGCAGGAGAGAAACCTGTTGCATCCTCTGGGACAAAATGCACTAAAAATTCTCTTTGAAAAAAAGGATGTCTTAGGCAAGAGAGGTGGATCACACTGCTGAGCATTACTCACAGACATAAGTGAAGCTATCCTCTTCCTCCGATGGGGCTGCTGTAGATGGCATCCATGGCTGGGTAGGCTGCAGAACCTGTTCTTCAAGTTCTTCCTTCTTGGTCAATTTGTCAAGCTTCTCCTTGCCATCTGGCTCCTTCACTTCAGTCAACACCTCCTGAGCATCCTCTTGATCAGTCATTTCGGACAACTCTAGGACTTCTTCCAAATGCTTCAGAAAGAAGATCCACAAAGTAAGTTACAGAAAACAGTTATTTTCACATGGCATTCCCCTCTTGGAAATCTGGGAGGGGCACAAGGTAAAGCTGGTTGTCTCTCAACTTGTGTATTCTGTTTAAATTCCACACACACACATCATTCCTTCCCTCCCCTTCTCTCTCCCCCCCCCCCAGTCTTTTTGCTCTCTCTCCCAAATACAGTCATGGGAAGTGGGCGGAACAGAACAGAAGTGGGGGGGGGGGAACTCCAGGAAAAAAATCCAGATTTTTTTCTTCCTTTTTTTAACAATATTTTTTTTTTATTTCTCTTGGGCCACTGTTTATTTCTAGTGAGAGGGAGGGAGGGAGGGGGAAAAGAGAAAAGGAAAAAGGGGGGAGGGGGAAGGGAAGGGAAGGGAAGGAAATCTCCTCTAGTTTGGGGAGGAAATCTTCATACCACTAGGATTTACAAGCCTTAACATGAAACATATACTTCCATATAAACACAAAATTCTAATTTATACTATTTGCAGTTAATAAACTTATAGCATTCTTCTATTGATTAATTCAATTTTTAGCTCTAAAGTTCTGTTTAAAAAAACACAGGCTGGTACCAGGATGCATATGTGAATTCACATTCAATATTCGTTGCTACTTTACAACTACCATTCTTCTGTTACCATAGCTCTAATCATACTGTTTGATTTGCACAACTTCATTTTTTTAAATTAAAAAAAAAAATCTCTCTTTGCTGTAGGTTATTTTTTTCCTAACTAGCTAAATCATCTTTCTGAACAATGAAAGATCCATTGTTAAGAAAAAAAATGAGCCATACCTACTCAGACAATCACTTGTTTGAGATGGTATAGGTTCTCCTGCTTGAGCAGGGGCCTGGACTAGAAGACCTCCAAGGTCAATTCCAGCTCTATTCTATTCTATTCTGCTCCCAGGGGAAACTAGACATTAACTGCTGTCAGGCCATATGCTAATATATTTAAGTCTGAGATAGGGTTGGCATCATCCGTTAGCTTTCATCTCCACTCCTAGATAACCACTGCCTAAAACCACTTGCCTTTTCCAGCTAGGCCAGTGGTTCTCAACCTGTGGGTCGGGACTCCATTTGGGGTCGAACGACCATTTTTACAGGGATTGCCAAACAACGCAGTCCGCCATTTTTTTCCCTTTTTCCTTAGCTGTGCTACTCCCTTTTATTCTATTGGCTTTTGAAAGCCAATAGAATAGACTCTCTTGAATAGAGTCTAATTCTATTGGCTTTCAAATGCCAATAGGAATTGTCCAGGCTGTCTCTGCCCTGCTGAGCCCACCAAAAGTCCCATTCTGCAAACGGTGCTGCACCAGTTGAGTAGTCCTCGACTTACGACCGGTTGAGTAGTCCTCAACTTATGACCGATTGGGGGTCGCGCGATTAAAAAGGTTGAGAACCACTGAGCTAGGCCAATATCTAGGACAGTTTTTTTCAACCCGGACAGCTTTAAGATGTGTGGACTTCAACACATGGCTGTTTGAGGAATTTGAAAGTTGAATTCCACACATCTTAAAGTTGCCCAATTTCTGATCTGGAATAGCGACTCTGCTGGCATAACACACACACGCATGCACACGCGCACTCACACACGCGCACACGCACACATACCTCTGAAACAAAAGAGAAACAATTCTTTAGACATATGTTTGACATATGTGAGTGTGCACTTTAGACATTTATTTATAATTCAAGGCACTTCTTGTTCACCAAACACAAAAGCTGATTTCACTTCATCATTGATAATGCACTCATTTTGGAGCCTGCAGTTGCAGGTATTCTCTGCACTTGTGCCTTGAAAATGAGGTTTGCTGTGCAAACAACTGTCTCTCGTGAAGCAGATGGAAGATAGCTGAACTGTGCAGCTGCCATGTTCCTATCACATTTTGCAACTTGCTCTCTCTTTCATGTCAGCACCAATCACAGTTCTGAAATTGATAGATCACGTGCTGATGTGGATGGTGCGAATCCATTTTAAGCTTGGGGGTTGCAAGGTCACTTATTTCTTGTACATTTGGTTCTTTCTGTTTCTTTAGCAACTTAAACAAGGAAAATAGGTCTTGTCAGGTGTTGGTGAATGCTGGTGTGTAACCTATAACATTGTGGCATGTCACTTTTGACATGCATTTCATATGATTGCCATCACTGATCTTGAAGATCAGAAAATAAATGAAGCTTCTGCTTTGCTTTTTAATATTTCCTCCACTGTTTCAAAGCTTTTTCCCATCTTACTCTTTCCAATCCATTCCTTGTTGAACTGTATTAAAAGATTGATTTTGTGAGGTTCAAAAACATCTCTTTTTGCAGTCCTGTACAAAGTTCAAAGGACCATTCTTTTCAGTTGCTATAGCCAATACCAATTCAAATTATGGTAGTGTGGGATTATGAGGGGTGCATGACATGGATTTTATAATTTGTTAACTAACATAGTTACTTTGTATTTTAATTTAAAATGCAATAAAATGTATTTAAATTTAAAATGTGGATTTATCAAACCACTATAGACTGGAATGTAGCAAAACTTTTTATCCTATCGCTGTATGGATTGATTGATAGTTTCTATCATTCCTAAATTGAAAAGATAAACTACAGAAGAATGGACGAATACTACTTTCTAGTGAGAAAAGGTTTGTTAGTGAAAACTGTTTGTTAGTTTGTCTCTTCATGAATTCCAAACAAACTTTGTAGCTGATTTACTATGCAAAAGAGAGGTTACTTTTATCCTGTCCAATTATTTTTCTTCTTGCATTTTCTTTGTTGTAATAACTGTAAAAAGGGAATATAAGTTGGGTCTTGGAACTCTCCCTTTTCATAGGGAGATCCACTTTATCAGGGTACCCTAATACAGGGCTTTTCAACCTTTTCACCCTTGTACCACTTTTAGGATATGGCAATATTTGAGTCAAGCGAAAGGCAAAGGAGAAAGAGAAAGATACACCCAATTGAATACAGAATTCCAGAGAATAGCTAGAAGAGATAAGAATACCTTCTTAAATGAACAGTGCAAAGAAATAGAAGAAAACAACAGAATAGGGAGGACCAGAGATCTCTTCAAGAAAATTGGAGATATGAAGGGAACGTTTCATGCAAAGATGGGCATGATAAAGGACCAAAATGGCAGGGACCTAACAGAGGCAGAAGAGATTAAGAAGAGATGGCAAAACTACACAGAAGAACTATACAAGAATGAGCTTAACATCCCAGATAACCACAATGAGATGGTCATTGACCTCGAACCAGACATCCTAGAATGTGAAGTGAAATGGGCCTTAGAAAATCTGAGCAACAACAAAGCTAGTGGAGGTGACAATATTCCCGCTGAGCTATTCAAAATCTTAAAAGACAATGCAGTAAAAGTGCTACATTCAATTTGCCAGCAAATTTGGAAAACTCAACAGTGGCCACAGGATTGGAAAAGGTCAGTTTACATTCCAATTCCAAAGAAAGGCAATGCCAAAGAATGTTCAAACTATCGCACCATTGCACTCATTTCACATGCTACCAGAAGTACAGGCAGGATTTCGAAGAGGCAGAGGAACTAGAGATCAAATTGCCAACATATGCTGGATCATGGAGAAAGCTAGGGAGTTCCAGAAAAACATCTACTTCTGCTTCATTGTCTATGCAAAAGCCTTTGATTGTGTGGATCACAACAAATTGTGGCAAGTTCTTAAAGAGATGGGAGTACCAGACCATCTCATTTGTCTCCTGAGAAACCTATATGCGGGTCAAGAAGCAACAGTGAGAACCGAACACGGAACCACTGATTGGTTCAAAATTGAAAAGGAGTCCGGCAAGGCTGTATACTGTCACCCTGCCTATTTAACTTATATGCAGAGCACATCATGAGAAAGGCAAGGGCTAGATGAATCAAAAGTTGGAATTAAGATTGCCGGGAGAAATATCAACAACCTAAGATATGCAGATGATACCACTCTAATGGCAGAAAGTGAAGAGGAACTAAAGAGCCTCTTGATGCGGGTGAAGAAGGAGAGTGCAAAAGTTGGCTTGAAACTCAACATTAAGAAAACCAAAATCATGGCATCCGGCCCTCTCAATTCCTGGCAAATAGATGGGGAAGAAATGGAGTAGTGACAGATTTTATTTTTCTGGGCTCCAAGATCACCTCAGATGGGGACTGCAGCCAAGAAATTAAAAGACGCTTGCTCCTGGGGAGGAAAGCTATGGCAAATCTAAACAGCATTCTAAAAAGCAGAGACATCACCCTGCCAACAAAAGTGCGTATAGTCCAGGCCATGGTTTTCCCAGTTGCAATGTATGGCTGTGAAAGTTGGACCATAAGAAAGGCTGAGCGCAAAAGAATTGAGGCCTTTGAACTATGGTGCTGGAGAAGACTCCTGCGAGTCCCTTGGACTGCAAGGCGTTCAAACCGGTCAGTCCTAGAAGAGATCAACCCCGACTGCTCTTTAGAAGGCCAGATCCTGAAGTTGAAACTCAAGTACTTTGGCCACCTAATGAGAAGGAAGGATTCATTGGAGAAGAGCCTAATGCTGGGAAAGATTGAGGGCAATAGAAGAAGGGGACGACAGAGAATGAGATGGCTGGATGGAGTCACTGAAGCAGTAGGTGTAAATTTAAATGGACTCCAGAAGATGGTAGAGGACAGGAAGACATGGAGGAACATTGTCCATGGGGTCGCGACAGGTCGGACACGACTTCGCAATTAACAACAACAACAATATTTGAGTACCACCAGGCGCCTAGAAAGGTGTCAAAAACTTGATGATAAAAAAAGGAAAAAAGTGATGAAGTACAGGTAGTCCTCAACTTACAACAGTTCACTTGGTGACTGTTCGAAGTTACCATGGCACTGAAAAAAGTGCCCCCCAAGCCACAGCCAAGCAAGACACCTGCCTGCCCACCCAGCGGCGCTCTTCCTCATGTCGGAGGTTTCCATTGTTGTATTTCTGTTGAGGATTGGCAGCAGGGGTGGAGTGAGGGGGGTGTTAG